AGTAGTCAGGTAACAAAATATTTAATTCAAAACCCAAGAAAAGTAAACTTGAACCTGCATATTCACAAATCTAAGCTACAGTTTGTTATTTAAAAACCCAATTATTTATAAATAAAACACACGAGAGAAAAACATAGTTAAAATACAAAACGATAAAATACAAATTAATAAGAACTGAAAGCACATACAGAACGTAAATTACAAGACAAATTGGTCTGCATGTAAGCACGCAGGCCGATAATGAAGACATTTATTTTTGAAGAGGGAGAAATGGAAGAGAAAGAGAGCTCCGGCGGGGACAACAGTGATACAACTTCCAACGGCCATATCATCCACAAACATCACATCTCATGCTTAGCAATGGATTGATGGATCAACTAGATGTATGAATGAACGACTGATTGATTGACTGATTGACTTGACGGCCATTTAAATCACCCACTTACCAATTTTATCACAAATATCGCAATTAGTTGTGTCTTCTTTGGATGTATTAGAACGAGCGTTATAGTTTTGTTAGGCTATTATTATTATTATCATAATCACGTCATCCTCACATCTGAAAGTGTTCAACTATTGAAACTTCATCATTGAGAATTTGAGATTATTAAAATTACTAACTTCATCATTGAGATTATTAAAATTACTAACCAAACATTTCAGTACCTCCATAATTTAACTATTATTATTATGATTAATAGTAGAGGTAATATTATCTTTACTACTACTACCATTATAGCTGATCATATTCTTAGTATTAATTTTACAATGGAAGCTTTAACAGAAATGCCATGCTACGTTAATGCACGACAATCTCATTTGAGATATTTCGGACATTCCCCACAGGCATCATTATAATTATTAGTACAGTTATAATAATAATTATTATTATTACTAGTTATTATTATTATTACTAATTATTATTCAGAATGAATCTAATACATCCATCAAGATGCTCCTCGCCCAGTCTCTCAGCCAATTGAATTAATGATACATGGAAAGATTTGCTGGCTTTTTTGGCAATAAAATTAACCTCTAACGTTATTTTATGAAAATATAGTAATAATAATAATAATAATAATTATTAATATTATCAAAATATAATTATTTGAATTTTTATAAATTATCACTATTATGACTACAACATTGTCGCAACACTTTTCATGGTGCATACTGAGATCACTTGAATGTACATACGGTTATGTTATTTTTGAAAACGAAAGATCTTCACAAACGCATCGATACAAATAATTATTATTTATATCAATGTCATTATAATTAATTATATAACTATTAATTATAATTAATATATGTCGATTATTAGATAAAGAAAAAAATTATGCTTATTAGCTAGCTAGAATGGGCAGGTAAGTGTATGTTTGTCATTATTTGTTGTTGCAGGTATAGATGATTTTGTCATCAAATTTATCATAACATCGATGTTTTGTTGCTGTCACAAAGCTGCTGTTGCTGTTGAGTGTTGCCGGATTTTTTGTGGTTTGATAATATCTGAATTGATTTATTACTAGTTGAACTATTATTGCCATTGTTACTACTGCTATGGACAGTGTTGATGGGCTTGTTTATGGTGAGCTTGGTCAACGTGACATTTTTTGTTGGTTGCACTGTTGCAGTTGAACTTGTAGTAGCGACGATGGTCGTAATAGTAGTAGTAACAGTGGTCAAAGTTGTTGTTGAAATGACTACCACAGTTGTTGGAGCTGATGCTGATTTTTGAGGTAGTTGAACAATGGAACCCTGTGAACGATGAAGACCTTGTTTTACATAAATCTGCTGAGAAGCTTGATGTTGTGGTTGTAGTAACTTGTGGCTGCCTAGCTCTTCTACATCCCCTTCCAATCTGCATCTATCTCTTTTAAAATTTTTTAGTGCAGTGCCAATGGTGCTCATCTGTTTCTTTGATTCATTCAGCACTGTGTTGAGGGAATACTTGGAAATTGTTGAGGCATCCCTCTTCAACGTTGTTGAAATTAACCGAATGTTGCCAACTGGTTTAGCAATGGATAGGGGAATACTTACTTTTGGCAACATTTCAAGTGTCGATGCAGAAGTTGCTGGCACGGCAGCTACAGTTGGCGTTGCAGTTGATGATGCATTCAAACTTATTGCCACAACTGTAGGTATTACTGTGGTGGTTGTTATTTTTGGAATGATTGTAGTTAGAGTTCTAAGAGGCTGTGTTGTCAATGATGACGTTTTTGTATTAGTGGTCAAAGTCGATGACGTCAGGATAGATGAGGTCATATTAATTGTGAGCGTCTTTGTTGGATATACTTTTATATTTTTTAATGCTTTTAGATTTAAAGATTTCAACTGTACAGTTTCTTTCGTAGAAGATGATGACAAAAACGCTGATGTCGCGGCTACGGTTACCGGCGTTTTAGGAAATGAAACAGACGGTTTGACGTTACCTATAACGACAGTGGGTGCGGCCGATGCTGTGGCCTTGAATACATTTTTCGATGCTAGAGTTGTTTTGTTGGCAACTGGAAAAATGGATGAGGAGGGCTTCAAGATTGTTGAGTTGGTTGTTGTTTTGGAGATTTTAGCAGTAGTTAGTACAATATTTCTTAAATTTTCAGCGTGGTTATTGCAATTTGCTTGATCGATAGTTTCATAATTTGTGACGAATCCTACAGAAATGTCACCAATTTCTTTGTTACTCCCATCAGCATGGGTACTGCTTACTTTGATCTCGTCATCTTCATCATCGTCTTCATCATCGTTTACTTCAGTTACCACTTTTCTCATGGAATCTACGACTGTGCTCTTGTTTGTTGCAAGCAACAACGATGATGATAATGGTAATGAGGAAAATGATAACGGCAATGTGGTTGATGATGACGGCAATGTAGTTATTATTAAAGATGGTAGCAATGTAGATGGAGTGGTCGTTGGTAATGAAGCTGGCAATGCTAATGTATTAAATGTCGAGTGATCTTTTAAAACGTGGGACGATGACGACGACGATTGTGATGATGGCGATATTGATTTCGATAATAATGACGAGGTAGTCACAAACGTTGGTGAAATACTGGATGTTTTTGATAAAGTGACAAGTAAAGATGACGACGAAGTTGATGCAGAAACTGAAGATCCTGACGAAGATAATGATTTGGTCCCAGCAGTAACATATAAACTTGAAGACAAAATTTTAGAAGGAGCAAGGGATGATGAAAAGAATGAAGATGCCGATGAAGAAACAACTGGACTCAACTTATTTTGAAATGACGTCACACTGCCTCCATGTTTAAATATTTCCTCACAACTATCACTACTATCGCTACTGCTGTTACTACTGCAAACACTTACACCATGATCGCTAGTGAAGCAACTACTGCTATTGGCAGCTGAACACTTTCCTATCATCTCCCTGGCCCCTGCAATGTTCATACCGTGCTTGAATTTTAAGTGGGATATAAGTTCCGATCTAGTAAAGGGTCTGACCTTGCAGAGAGGGCAAACAATGAAGGTCAATCCCAATGCATCAACTTCCTTGACACTACTGTTTCTGGTGAGGTTTTTTTGCTGATGTACTGCTTGACTAATGCAGTTTATTTTAGCAGCATTATGTGGAGCTTTCTTTGAAATGACTTTACGGACTGGTTTACTGGTATGATGAAGCCCGACATCACCGTCATCTTCATCTTCATCACCGGTACTACCTCTCTTACAGCTTGCATCGTCATCATCCTCGTCCTCATCATCACAAATATAAGTGACATCATCTTCTAGCTTTCCTCTCTTTATAGCAAAAACTTCTGGTTTTTTCTTCCTTTTTACGCTGTAACACTCTGAAAGTTTCTCACCCTTAAAAGGAAACGACGGAGAGTTGCAGAGTGGAGAAATAGGATTTTTGGGTTTTTCACTTGATGCAGTTAATTTTTGACGTTTAGTATCTGAAAGCATTCTATTGTTTGATGGCAGGACGCTGCTGATGTGTTGAGATTGTTTTTTCTGGGGTTGTTGTTCTTCAGATGATTGCTGCTGTTTGCACTGCTGGTGCTGATCTAGTAAAGCCTGAGAGCAATGAGGGATGGTAGACTTGGTGAATTTGAATTTGTTGCCTGCACCAAGGGGTTTAGTATTTTCATAGCGAATTTTAACAGACAGTGAGGATAATGAAGAGAGTGGACTTAGAAATGTTGTCGTCGTTGAGGATTGTGGCGTAGATGACAACGACGATGAAGATACTAGCAATGATGTGACTACTGCTGATGATACAGTTGTGAGCAACTGTGCCGATGACAAAGTTGACATTGTGATGTGAGAATCAGAAGATGAACTTATCCCTGATGACGATGATGCTGATGAAATGATTTGACTGTGATCATCACCAACACCTATTATGTGACTATTTAATAGTGGATTAATCTTGTTCAGATTCTTCCTCACAAGCAAGGGTGATGGTGTTTCAAGTGAGTGAGTTGTTGTGGCATTATATAAAACTGTAGACGTCTGTGATGATGTCGATGGCTCTGAGACGATGATGCTATTATTACTATTATTGCTGATGACGTTACTGTCTTTGTTGATAATGGTTTTAATGTTAGCAGAACACATAGAATGATTATCGCCAGTTACAAGAGTTTCAAAACCAGCATTATTGTTGTCGCTGGCGAAAATCTTTTCATCATCTTTAACATTAATGTTGTTAGTACAGCTTTTAGACTTAGTATCAATGTTTTGGATTTGTAAAAATGTTTCAGCATTAAAAAAATCATTAGATGTGGTGATTGTGGTCCATGTTGGTTTTGTTACAGCTACTGCTACTGCTGCATTAGATTCTGTGGCTAATGATGGCAATGTTGATGAAGAAGTTGTTGCTATCAGAGCTGATGTTTCACTGGTTACATTTGACAGCAGAGTAGGAACAGGTGCAGCTGAATTTGCAGTTGACGTCTTAGTAGCCCGACCATCTAAATCAAGCATTTGGAGATGAGGAATATTTTTATCATCACAAACATCATGTTGCTGATGTTGACTTTGTGGACAGCTTGTGGAATGCTCTGTTTTAAAACTGGTTTTCAAATTATTTGGAATATTTCTTATCAAATCAGCGTCACTGCAAATGCTACTACCGGCTGATGATGACACATTTATATCGGTAACCACTATATTTACGCTGTCGTTATCACTTTTAACAACAATTTGATTACAGTCACTATTATTTACAGCAGTGACAGCGTTATTGTTGTTGCTCACGAAAGCAGTTGTGTGGCTGCTGTTGATGGCACTAACATTAGCGTTGTTAGTTACGTTGGTGCCACCGAAGAAAACGTAATTATTATTATTATTAGTATTACTGCTACTGTTGTTAAGTGACGTAATGATAGATGTAACAAGATTATTAGTAGCCAAAGTAGTTAACATGCCAGTGTTGAGATCTGCACCAGTCAAAATACTAGTACTGACTACATTAGCACCAACAGCTGTGTTGTTGTTATTATTATTGCCAATTATATTGTTGATAACACTATTACCATTATTATTATTACTGTTGTTGTTGTTGATGTTGTTGACGGCAATGATGCTATTGATGCTAGATACACCAGCTACGTTGTTGTTGTTGTTGTTGTTGGCATTGAAGGCAACGACCTTGCCTCTATCTCTCGATGCATTGACATTGGGAAGAACTTGCTGGTCGAATGCCGTTTCCAGGTAACCGAGGTCTTCCAGCATCTTGCTCGTCTCTGATTTTGGAAGATGGTGCACCTGGGTCATGTGACCCTTCAGAGGAATGAGGTTGTGGTACTTTTTAGGGCAAAGGGGACAGGCAAGTTCCTTGACGGTCAGTTCATCCGTGCTCACTCCAATGAGAGGCAGGCACTCAGAGACCTGTTGGTAGTTAGGTAAGTAATGTTATTTCTATCAGTGACATCATGTAGCACTTAATTGAACTGCCCAGTTGCAGCTTAGATTCATTGCAGGTCGATCTATTGATATTCATAAAGTCTATCAATCATATTAAATAAATGATTTATTTATTTGCACTACTGTCTGTTCAATCAAACATTGCAAAATAATGTAGCAGTGACCAATCAGCAAACCTTCACAACCATTCAATAATTGGTCATTTAAGGAAACTCAATCTTATAACAAGAATACCTAACCTAACCAGCAAGCAGCATGCAAACGTCTAACCTGATGCTGTCTACATTCCTTCTGTGATGGGAACTTCTCTGAGCAGTAAGGACATAAGTAGAAGTACTTCCTAGAGTAGGTGACTGTTTTTGGATCCCCGCATGCCATCTGCCTGTGGTTCCTCTTTGACTCCCTGGAACTTAAATCTGCTTTGCAAACTGCACAGTAGTATGTTCCTTCGCACTGCATGTAAACGTTCTTATACAGGATTCCTGTTTGAAGATACAAAAGTTTGAAGATGTCATTAAAGTAATGATGAAGTAGTAGCATTAATAGTGACAGAAGGATATATCATATCTTGTTCTTTATACATATTAGTGGTTTGCATATGCATGTTTCTATGAGCATTTGTGTGTATGTGTGTAAAATTTGACTTTGTTTGAACAGCTGAAGATTATGAAAATGATTTCATATGGTATCATGTTTCATTGCATTTGCTGAACATGTACTGAGTCATTGAAGATGCACAAATAAAAGGATGATGAGGATGATGAAGGAATAGATGAAAACAGTGGTGGTAGTGGAAATATTTTTTGTAAAATTTCAACCAAACGATAGATAAAGACAAAAAAAAAGATAATTTCATTAAAAGTAATTGATGACAGAATGATGATTACTTACAACAAATGAATCAACCTTTATTCAACCAAAAACAACAATCAACCAATCAACCTTTGGCTTTGGAAGTTTTTTGTTGCACTGTTGATACCAGAGATGATGATGTCGGCGTGGCAGCAGAGGAAGATGAAGATGGTGCTGATAATTGCGTTATCATGGGAATAATTGAACAGGCTGTTGAGTGCCCAACAACATTCTTATTCAATGTTGGCTTATAATTAACATTAGGTGTCATGGGATTAGTGTACATTGATTGGCTGGCTGGGTTGGTGAAAGAATTTGAATGACCAATGAGAGAGCTGTTTGGAATGACATTAACATCACTATTACTGTTGCTGTTATCTGCATTCATGGATGATAACGACGATGATGATGTTGAATTGAATGAAGAAACCAATGATGACGTGGATGATGTTGATTGCTTATCCATGTTGTACGTGAGAGACTTTTTGAAGCCCTTGGTCATCTGCTCAACAGTTGGCACAGAAACAGTGGTTGGAGTGGGAATGATGCCTGGAGACTTGTGGCGGTGGGATCTGTGGTTGATGAATAATTGGGATTTGGAGATCAACTGTCTGATAAAATCTGGATATATTTTTGAAGCAGTAGTTGATGTGCACGTTGACGTTGATGCAGTTGTCGTTGACGGTAGTGTAGCTAACGTGTCAAAACAATCACCGTTACTGCTGTCACTGTTGCTTACAACATCTGAAGCACAAGTAACTGCATCAGATAGCTTTTGTAACTGAAAATGTTGTTCTTGCGGGTTTTTTTGCTGTTGGTGGCTCTTATTCGATCTCTGATGTCTATTGCTGAAGTGAAGGTTGAGATACTCAGCTGACGAAAAGACTTTGGAACAGACTGGACACTTGTGCAGTTGTACTCGAGGTGGTTGTTGTTCATGGTACTGCATTCTGTGTTGCTGCAGCTGCTGTTGCTGATGGAGTGCAATCTGTGATGGTTGCTTCAGCAAGCTGATCATGGTGATAGGAGAGCTCATCAATTCGTTCAATGAAACCGTTCTTGCTTGCTGCTGTTGATTTGGTTGCTGGGCTTGATGCTGTACATTGTTGCTTGCTGTGGAAGCTTCATTTTTCATATCCTGTGCAGCTTTTGGGTTTTCAGAACAAAAACTGCTGATGCTATTCAAACCTCCAACATATTCTAACTTGGTAAATCCGGGAATGTCAATGGGTAATTTAACAATCAATGGACAGGTGAATGCAATGTGGTTCTTTACAGTTACCTTGTCCCTGTATTTGATCCCACAGGTGGGACAGCAATAGATGTGATATCCTGTGACTGTTGCTTCCTTGTGGTCTCCAGTTGAGATGTGCTGGTTGGCTATTTCTAAATCTGAGAATGCAAGCAGGCAGGTATCACAGAGGAATTCTGTTAGCTCGATCATCTTGATGCCATCAAAAACTATTTCTTTACTGTTGGTTTGTTTGGGTTTGTTAGCTGGTGCAATGGTGTTGATGTTGGATGTTGCTGATGCAGCTGTGATGGCCGCTGACGAAGCAACGATAGTTTGCAAACACTGCTTCAATTTGTCAATAATAATTTTGCTCTCCAGACCGCCAGTAACATTGTTGTTGTTAGTAACATTGTTGTTAACAGTGTCACAACTGTTGCTGTTGTTGTTGCTTACAACATTGTCAGATGTGTTGTTGTCAAGACTGTTGCTCGTTTTGTTGCTGCTGTTGTTACTCTGCATGTTGAGCTTGGCCTGTGGAGTGGCAGAGTTCGTGCGACTGTTAATGATGTGAAGTAGTTTCTGATTGGTCGTCAGGATGTCCATCTGTTCAGTTCAATTGAATGTTGTAATGGGAGTTTCTCAAAACAATTGTGAAAGAAAATAAATCCTAAGATAAATGTTCTAATCAATCAAAAGCAAATGAAAAAGTTAACAAATTATATAAAAATGTTCATCTGTTAAAACAAATGTTGAAAAAATTTGTGAACTAAATTATAAACTTAAGCAATACTTTTGTTCTTCAAATGCTGAAACTAGCCGAGATTTTTGTGTTACATTTATCCATACTCAAATGAGCGCATTAATTGACTTATTTATTAAAATCTCGCTTTTCTATAAAACTAAAGTATTTGAATCTAATAAAAACTGATCTTCTCTAAAGTATTTGAATCTAATAAAAACTGATATCCATGTATCAACCATCTTTTGTCATAACCTATGCAACTCAATAATTTCTTAATTTGGCAAACAATTTCAAACCATTGCATTTAAATATAATAAATTTAATTAATTACCTGATTTTGCAAAGTTGCATTTGAGTTATTTAAAGGAATGTTTAAGTTGGAAATATTTGGCTGACTAGTTACCGTCAATGGTTGGTTACCTTTTGCAACATTCATATTCAACAAACTTTTGTTATAGAATTGTTGCTGTTGTTGCAGTTGAAATTGTTGTTGTTGCTGTTGTTGTTGCAGTTGAAATTGTTGCTGCTGCTGTGGCACAAGTTTTAAATTGTTATTCTTTAAAAAATGCTCAGCAAGTTTCAGCATTTCAAGGACAGGAGCTTGAGTGTTGTTGTTGGCTGGATTTAACTTTGTTGCTCCAATGTTCTGTTGAAATTGCTGTGGGTGTCCATTTTGTTGCTGCAACGTTAATGTTAACTGTTGTTTTTGTTGTTGTTGTTGCAACCTGCACAGTTGTTGAAGTTGCAGTTGTTGAACTCTATGTTGAAGAAGTCGTTGTAGTTGGATTGGCAGAGCAGCAAGTACATTGTTTTTCAATGGTAGCATTGTTGAAGCTGTTGAAACAGCATTTATGAGCATCTGTTGTGTCATCAATGTAGTCGGTGTTGATGGTAATGACAACGGTGCTGATGGGAGGGGTGCTGAAAATGATGAAGGATTGAATAAAATTTGAGTTTTTGATGTCGTTGGTAATTTCATTGTTCTCAATAATGCTTGGATTTTTGATTGTGCAGTCAGATCAGAGTCTATGTTTGTGTTGTTGTTAATGAGGAAGTTGCCATTGTTGGAATTTATTAGATTGTTGTTGGCCACATTGACTGATTGTTGAGAGGTAACAAGTAGCAGGAGTTTTTGCTGAGGTGTGATGCTGCTGCTGCCGCCTAACCTACTTGTATCAAGTCTGTATATTTTATCAGCCTCTAGAATATTACTACTCTTGTTGTCATCATTGTTGTTGTTCACATTATCATTATTGTTATTAATATTATTAGTGATGGCGTAGTTGTTTGGAGTGATGTTGTTTAGTTTGTTGCCATCGAGAAAACTCTCGTAACTCAAAGGTGATTGGGTGTTGGATGAAGATGACAATGATGAAGAAACAAAGGGTGATGACAAGGAGACCAATGACGATTGTGGTAAATTTAGATAACATTTATGAGAAGCCAGTTGGTCATTGTATTCTAATATTTCACCACAAGACTCACACATGCAGCTCAAATACTGTGATTGTTGTTGTTGCTGCTCTTGTTGGAGTTGATGATTGTGCTGTAGTTGATGCAATTGTTGCACACTTGTTATTTGTTGTTTATGAAATTGGTCAGTTGAATTGTCGTCGTGATCCAAAATACTGGTCGGGTGTTGATTTTGTTGCAGTTGTTGCTGAGGTTGCAGTCGATGTTGCAAATGTTGCATGAAGTGTTGTCGTTGTAGTTGCAGTTGATAGTGCTGGTGCTGTTGATCTTCCATGGAGTTGTCCGCAGAATCACCTGCCTTATCAAAAGTTGGAGATTCCCTACCCAGTCTGGTTATCTTAACAAAACAACTTTTTAAATCATCCATTCCATGGTCTTTGTTGCTGCTGTTGCTAATGCAACTAACACCAAAAACTTTGCTGTCATCTGCATTATTTTCATTGCTTATTTCAGAGTTTTGATCAAGGATGTCCCGATGAATAGTAGCACTATTGTTTGAGTTATTATTATTATTATTGCTAGCATTAACTGTATTGCAGTTCTCATCATAAGGTGTTAAGCTAACAGCTGAAATGTGAGCCTGCTGTGTGGATAATGATGGAGAAGGTAATGATATAAATGCATTCACAGATGTACTTGAATTGACATCTGTGACATTACTATCACTGTTGCTGCCATTAGAATAAGCTGTCATCAAAGGATCAGAACTGGCACTGCCAACTGCAAGGGCACTGGTATTAGTAGCAACAGCAGTTGTAGTAGCAGTAGTAATAGCACTAGTATTGTTGTTCTTTTTGTGGACTCGAAGCATGTGGGTGGTTCTACCTGCCTTTGAAATAAACTCCTTTCCACATTCATCACATTTCAGCTGCTTGGATGGCTGGAATGGTAAATTTAATGGAGCTGTTGATGACTGGTTTGATGTAAGAGAAGTTTCTGGCTTTGTAGTTGTCATTGCTGAAACTGTTGTAAGTGGCATCGAAACGTGTGTAAAGATTGTTGATGTCGTTGTTGATTTGAGATCATTTAATGGCTCAGTAATGGCAATGTGACAATGTGGTTGTTGTGGTCGTGCAGAGGAAATGTTAGCGTTGTTGGTGATGGTATCATTATCCTCGTCAGATTGCTGCTGTGGAGGTGGTGAAATAATTTCTTCACCGATCATCATTGGTGATGGATAAATGGTCGATGACGAGGATAACGATGAACACGAGGAATATGAAGGTGATTTGTCACAAACGGATGGCTGCTTTTGTCGTAGTAGTTGAAAATGTTGCTGCATAATTTGCGGTTGTTGTGGCTGTTGTAATGTCGCCGCAGAAGTCGCTGGCGATGCATTGCTGGCAGCAGTTGAATTGCTGTTAACGTAATGGTTATTATGGCTGCTTGCACTGTGACTGCTACAGAGAGCCATGGTCTGAACTGATTGCATGACAGTTTGAAGGTGAGGTAGTAACTGCTTCAAATAAGGAAGGTTGGAATCTGTTACTAATATATTGGCCCCGGATGTTGATAATGATGAAGAAGACGATGACGACGTTGTTGACGGCGATGACGTAGATAATGATGTCGACACTGTTTGCAGCAAGGATGATGATGAAACAAACATATAAGCTGGTCCATACTGTGACAATGATGGCAATGATGATGATAATGATTGTTTTGAAGATTGGTCTATGAATGATAAGGTTGGTGATGGTGAAAATGATGTATGGTGCAGAGAAGATAGAATAGTGCCCGAAACAACCAAACGATTGACGTCATTATCATCATCATCATCAACGACGTCGTCATCGTCATCTCCAGCATCATTATCACCGCAGTTATCTACGCTACTGTCTAGAATGTTAACTCCCAAGGTGCTGTTGAATTTATTCTGCAATGAAGCGTAGTAAGATGGCGGTGGGTAACTCCTCTCAATTGACAGATCCCCACTAGCGCCATTGTCATCGTCATTGTCACAACACTGTTGCTGATCGTCATCGTCGTCTCCTGCTTCGTCTTCATTATCGTCATCGCCAAAGAGTGGAGATGTAACCCTCATATAATCTCCATCCATCATCATTAGTTGCTGCTGAGTTGACTGCTGCAGGCTGTAGCTGAACACGTTGCTGCTACTGTTGCTGCTGCCACTTCGGCCCATTTCTGATTGCAGGAATGCAGTGATCTCTTGAAGGGCGTTTTCATCCATTGGGACCTCCTTACCTGCATTGCTTCCACTCATGATTGGACCATTCAACACCTGGATGAGATGTCATTGGTGTATGTTTGTCATTTAATAGGTAAGAATTAAAATATTACAGTAACATACCAAAATCTGACAAATCATACAATTCTGACAAATCTTACAAATTAACTCTTACCTGATTCAATTTTTATAAACAATTTTTGACGAGTTAATAAATGAAAAAAGAAAAAAATAATGACAAAAAAAATTATGGCAAATTGTGTAAACGATGATGAGTGAATGAAACAGCAAGAAATAAGTGAATTATGGAATTTAACCTGTTGTATATCATCCAGTGTGATGTTGTTCAAGACATTTTTCCCACCGATTGCCATGGTAATAACTGCATCCTGTGGAAATAAGCTACCATCAAGCAGTAGATGCTGTTGTTGTTGCTGCTGTTGAAGATGGTAATGATATTCATCATGTTGTTGAGGATGATGATGTTGTTGTTGGAGGAAGAGGTCATTATTATCACTCTGCTCCTTGTCATTCACTGTATCACAGATGAGATCATGGTTGTTGTTGTTGTTGTTGCTGCTGCTGTTGAGAATGATGTTGCCGGAGTTTATGCTGCCGAGTATAATGCTATGGTTATTGTGATTTGGAATGATGTTATTAATGTCCTCGTTATTGCTGTTGGAAAGAAGTTGACCGGATGAGGATGATGACGTTGAATTGATGTCAGCATTTTGATATGGATGCAGGGAAAGCATGTAAGTGTTGCCATCAACGTCATCTGCCTTGCTCAATGAGGAGGAGAGTGCAAACTCATCACCACAGTATGTGTATCTAGGGGTTGGTTGGCAGCATTCAATATGTTAAACAATATTAACACAACTACCTAAATATAAACCAAGCTAGTATATGCTGAGCTATTTAGCATCTTAGTAATAACTACACAGAAACTTATATATTTTGCAAATAAATAAATAAATAAATACACACACACACACACACACACACACACACACACACACACACACACACACACACACACACACACACACACACACACACACACACAGATGCAAAACAGTAAAGACAACAGCCAAAAATGAGAAGCATAATTGACAACTCACCTGCTGATTCCAATGCCAGTAGAGCCAAGTACATCCTCCGTTCCATCCTCGAATTCATTCCCAACTCGATCGGAGCCTCTCATAATTGCATTTATATTAACGTCAGCCCCGTGTAATGCTGATGTTATGACATCCATGTCATTCACCAATGTACTGCCACCACTAATGTCATGATTAATGTTAATTTGGCTGCAATTGCTGGCGTCGTTGCTAACATTTCTGTTGACATTGTTAGCATTGATATCGATATCATTACTGTTGTTAGCATTTAGATCATCAGGGAATTCTGACTGTTCAACAAATGACACAAACATTTTGGACAGAACTCCCCACCCTAAATTAAAATTTAGGGCAGCAGGTCGAAGCGAGTTAATGCACTCAACCAGCAGTGCAAATGTGTTCGGATTGACGTCGAGGATGGCAGGGAAGATGGTGGAGAAATCAAATGGCGTTGTTGTGGGAATGAATGGAGTTGTTCTGAATGCTGTATCCAGGTTTAGGTAGTTTTCTTCAGTGGGTTGCAGGTATAAGATGCTCATCAAAGACGACTGGAATTTGAAATGAAATAACAATGAGAAGAATGGTGATGATAAAATTTATTTAAATCAGCAAAATATAGAAAAAAGAATGAAAAAATCAAACAAGAAAAATGACAAGGAAACAGACCAGATAAACTTGTGGGTGGTCTCTGTACAGTTTTGTGATGGTCTTGCATGTGTGTGCCATGCCTGCCACTATTTCCTGCAACACTGCAGCCTGACTGTTTGACTGCATCGATGACGATGATGTTGAGTTTGATGACGTCAGGCCATCATTGTCAAGCTGTTGTTGTTGCAATTGTTGATGTTTCTGTATAGACTTGATGGCTAGCTCAGAACAGAACTGGATGAACTGAGTGTCAAACTGTGGAAATAATTTTAATGAACAGTGGATTAGTTGGGTTAGGGTTAGGTTTGCTGATGTATGCCAATTTGCTTGAGTCTGAAGTTTTATAACCTTTTAATCTAAGCTTATTTAACCAGCAAATTTATCATTAAAACAGCAAGTTAGACTCAACAATATGCAAGTAACTCTTAAAAGTATCTGATAAAAGTTCATTGAAGCATCCAATGAGTAACAAATCAGACAATAAAATTATCCAACTAACAATCACCCAAGCCTTAAAACAACAACCAATGAACATCAAAATGACCAACCAAATGAACGATAACTTCAAGAGCGATGTTCAGTTGTTGTACATTTTGATAGAGACTGATCAACTTGCTAACACTGTCCAAAAATTTCTCCAGGTCTGCCTCCTTCTGTCTTTGCAGAGACAACCACATTTCCAACAACAACTGCATAGTTTAACAGCAGATGCAAGACATTCGTCTACATAACTTATCAATAATAAACCCGGTTTATAAAAAAATCACTAATTAAATAGATACATATAAATAGATATATATTCAAATTAAACAAACATACCTGAGTGCAGCAATAGATGGTTGGTTTGAGCCAGTCAATTAGCAAGAAGTTGTGTGACAGACATAAGAGTAGAGCCGTGTCCTCGTTGACCCTGGGTGCCAGATGCTTGAGTATTTCCTTGGCCATGCAGCAGGTCAGCTGGTAGCACTGAAATGAAAAACAACGTGTTATTATACATGGGCAGCTGAACGATGAAGAACAACATAAGCAGCTGTGGGAAAACATTAAAAATACCATCACAATGGAAACAATTACCAACAATGCAAAAATGAGATAACTTAATAAAAACACTGAACCATGATTACATCAAATGCCAAATAATTTTCTATTGATCCCTGAACTTTTTAAGATCAATCAATTTAAAAACATAAATTATACAAGAGTCAATGAAAAAATTAAATAATATACAAGATATTGAAATTAATTAAATAAGAAGACATGATTGGCTATACCTGGTTTTGAAGCTGAGTCATCTTATTTAGTTTGTACAGCAGAAGGAAATTGGTTGACCTCAGTGAAACATCATTTTCAAACAGTGGACTAAGAACACACCATGAAACGAGGTTGGATGCAAAGTTGTCACATCCTGACTCCATCAACATTTCAACTCGAAGACGAAATAACTCTGGGTATTCCCCACTTCTTATGTAGTTTAGGGCTGGGAGTGTAGTTGATTTAAAAGAATCTATTACTAAGATTTCTTATCATGATAATTATTAAATTAAAATTATTTTATAAGATTATTAATATGTTTGTATTGTAAAAAAATGAAATTATCAGTCAATGATTCATTTCATAGGACTAAAAATTTCTTGAAACTTTAGCAAAATTACAGCTGAAAAAAACCTTTTAATTATTCGATTAATTAGCTTCACATATTGCACAACTAGTGGATTTTAAACTGGATTCACCAATTTTTAAGATGTGAACTATAACAAATGCCACATCCCAACCTATCTCCTTATCAATGTCCTCTCCCTTCATCATAGCAACAAGTGTGGCGTGACTCCATTGGTTGACCATCAACCACTCGAGTATGAGAAACACTTGACCAATTGCGAACTCTTGCAGACGGGTGTAGACATTAACTATGGCATGCTTGAATGATACTTTGTATGGGTCTAAGTTATCTAGGTGGTGGAACTCAATACCTAACACTAATCTTGAACATTCCCTAAGTAAAGAAAAAAAATGAATCTTTATAAATTTTTACAATGAAAAAAAAATGAACTAAACGATGGAGTTTAAATGAATGCCAAATATCAGCAAATAAAGTTTGTTTTAAATTTTAATAAAAAATTTACATGAAGAGAAAGTGTCCAAAAGCATCGGCTTCTGGAGCAATAGCATCTTGTCTAAACCGGAGTTCCACATAAAAAGTTAGTGATGAAGTTAATATCTCCAGTTTAGCTTTAACTCTTTTAGATTCTGTAGCTAAACACTCTATTAAAGCCTGTATATTTTTACAATAAATAAAACATTCATTAAATAAATTGAAAAATTAGTCAAAGCAATTTCTTAATGCAATATTAAATGCATGATTATTTAATGCAATTATTAAATGCATAATTATAATAAAAGTAAATTTAATGAAAAATCATGCCTTGCTCCAACTCTTACAATAACAATTTTATGCATTATTTTTTAATGAATAACTAAAAAAATGGTCTAATAAAAAAACTTTCTGGATCACTTAACATTGTTAACAAACATAATACGGTTACATTTCGAAGATTTGAAACTCACGTCATAGAGCTTGTTGCATATTGCGTTGTCATTTTCAACGTCGTGGTTGTCTCCAGAACTTAACTGATGCTCTTGATAAACATTTTTGATGTCTTCTAATTCTTTGAGGAATTTGTCTTGATCCATCCCCTAAAAATGGAAGGCATTTAACTGCTGATTAAACCATTTTAAATAAACAAATTAGTAATCAAGGACGTCATTGCACAGTGAATTGAAACGATTATTTAATAAAAATGTCTTTTTTGATTTAGAGAAACGATGCAATAAAGTTTTTCCGAAATTTAGATTAATACGCCATTTTGTTTAGAAACTCCGCCTCTGTAGAATTATTTTCTTTTTCGAAGATTGCCAGTCGGGTTATATTTTTTATAAAAGGTATCTCCAGGAACCTCTGAAATTATATTCGACAAAAAAATGACAAAAAGTAATTTAAACTTTATGAAATATGCTTTATGTGACGGAATTTTAGTCTAAACCTAAACACTAGACCTAAAACAATGACCTGGAAAGATTTATTTCATTATAAGACCAGAATATAATTTGTATATAAAGAAAATAGTGATATCAATTCTGCTCTTGCTTCCAAGTTAAACTTATAATGGAAAAAAACAATTAAGAATACTTTAAATTAGCAATACAAATTTGGAAAACCCATTGTGAGATATAACTTATACCTCCATGGAAAGATTAAGGGTTCATCTTCTACATTGGGTGCCTTTAAAAATTAAACATTCTTTATTTACATAAACATATACTAATCCACAATTTACACCGTGATTGCTTTCTTTCATGTCAAAGCGCAAACGTACCTAAATAAAATTTTCTAATGTTATCACAACAGAATTTCAGTACTTGAACTTAAAACGTTGATCATTTTTTTATCTTTTATCTAAACCTAAACGTTCTTGTCCTTGATCTTCATCTCACTGTCACTATTTGATATCAGCAAAGCAAGAGTACGCTAGCAGTATCGTCCACAGGAATGCTTCTCCTCTACTAAACCATAGAAAAAAAATATTGAAAAATTTGTAACATATTTTAATGTATTGTAACGTCATAATAAGGTTTTTTCCACGTAAAAGAGTGACGACCCTGGGGGAAATTGATGGGGATGTCTTTCCCTGTCGAATCGTCAAAGCAAAAACTGAAATCTTGAATTTGATATAACTGAAATTCTGCTTTTAAAGTAATCAAATAAGGAGGAATAATCAAAAAATGATCGATCGTGTCAACTTTAGAAAACCACTTCAGATCCCACCACCGTAAAATTTGAGCTCCGCAACTGTCTGCTTTTACTTACTCTGATCCTTTTTTTGGGATCATTCTAAATTTCATTCATTATCCAGGACTGATCCCAATACACTTTCGTTTGAGTGCTGCAGTTAAATGAAAGATTGGCCGCTTGATAATTTTATTTTATGATTGTTGATGGTGATGATGGGACTGATGATGTGATGATAAGGTGATGAATTATGACAATGTGGTAATGAAAGACGATGATGACGACGATGATGATAGGGCAAGGGTATTAGTGATAGTATTAAGACTAATTGATGATGAGTGTGAACGATGATGACGACATTGATGATGGTTTTCCTTTCTTTTGTAAATGAATTTTGTCGTCTGCATACCTTTCTCTCCCTTTTGTTGCTGTTGCTTTTCCCAAGTTTAGCAGCAAATAATCCTCACGAACAAAAAGCAAACATTCATCATAGATTAGAACACTGAGAACCTACTGTAGTCTGTAGTACTATAGTCAAAGCAATCTAAAGTTCTATAGTACTCTTTCTTTATGCTTTCTATGCTGTCTCTATTTGCTCTGGGGTTTTTGTTTATGTTTTTAATACTGCGTCTATTTGTTCTTTGGTATTTATTTATGTCCTCAACGTTTTGTTTATGTGTTTATGTTGTTTTTTTGTTGTTTCTTGATTGTCTTGTTGTGTTAACGTTTCTCGGATGTGTGTTTGTGTTTTTTGGGATTTTTTTTATCTTACTATTATATACTATCCTACTATGTTTCTATCTGTATTGTGTATCAACTATTCCATCGCTCATGTTATCTGTGCTTATGAAAGGTTTTATATTTATCTTTGCTAAAATTCTTGAAAAATCAATTAGTTAACGTGCCCTAAATGGAAACAATTACATACATGCCGTGAGTTTATGTAACTAAATTATCTGAAAATTTACTGAATAAAAATAATTATAAAAATAATCGCATGAATAGATAAAAACTGGAATATATTTGATACAGAAATACTACAAAGAGTTGGACAAATTATTGTGTCGATAAAATCGGTTTGATCGGTGACAGATTTAAAGGTCAGTTTTACAATTTTGCAGACTTACAGTTGTTAAGTGGCATTCAAGCTTTCACGAACAGGTTCAACCAACTCAAGCGTTTTAATTGCTTCTGCTTACTTACTCTTTAATTTCTTTAAAAGTTAAATAATCACTAGTTCATTGTTTTCAAAAGTTAGCTGGCAACATATGACCGTGTACCGCGGCAATAAGAATGATAATAACAACAACAACATGAAAAAAGAAATATTAAAGAAATTGTGTAAATAATAATACATGCATCATACGAGTAAGAACATTGAACCAAGACTTCAACAATGTTTTCGCATTTCATGATTCAAATGGACCTACCTATGCAGCATCTATCTTGCCAAAATACTTCCACTTGGCGTATTTATTTATGTCCCCCCTTGTGAGTTTTCAATAATTTTGTTTACGTTTTTGAATGTATTATTTTACTTTATATCGTTTTGAATGTTTTAAAACTCACAACTGATATAGCTAGTTATTTATTTAAAAAAATAAATAACTTGCTATTGACTAACTAGCTAGCTAAAAACAACCAAATCTCAGATTTGATCGATCGAATGGTCATCTCTTGGGCACTCAAACAATAATCGCAGTCATTTAATATCATTAATAAATTTATGAGCAATTGCCTGGTTAAAAAAATAACGGCCATAAATTATTTAGAGGGAATTTAATATGTACGATGATGCGTAGTTTTGTTACATGGCAACTTAATATTTCTTTACTGTGTGCGGTCTGTCATCTATGGCGAATGTATAATGAACCTCTAACTCTTTATCAGCAACGGCATATTATTGCATTTTTGCGGTACACTTGCATCGCAGAGAACACACGTTCAACTGTTTCTCGGCAGCTCAGATGTCTCCATACATCAGCATTTTTAAACTGTTTTATTACACACACCGACATAATTTTGCAGAAGATGTTTATGTGTTAAATTTTTTTATATATGTCAAATATTTTTCTGAGTTTTGGACTTGTTTCTAGGTACAAATGTTTTTTCATCGTATGAGGGGATTTTCAGAAAAATTTTCACGGAAATAATATTTTCCTTGAATGTTTTTTCGCAAAATTATTTTTCCAGAAATTTTTTTTGATAATTATAAGTACATTAGCCTCTTTGTTCCCGCTGAATAATACATTGTAGTATTTATGCTCTGTTTATATTAGAAGAATAAATTTATTCAAAATTCAATATCCCAACATATATGCAATACACTCAGTACATATATTATGCATATTATGCATACACACACACACACACACACACACACACACACACACACACACACACATACAAACATACATACATACAAACATACATACATACATACATACATGCGGCGACGACTTTTCCACCGCTCGTTTGTTGGCCATGTCCAGCGTTGCCAGCTGTGGGTGGTTGAGATCGTGGCCTAACACCTCTGTGGGCACCAGGCTTGACGACGAGTCTGTGAGATTTGCCATTGGCTTCAGACTTGGCCTGGTCATTCAGAATAAATACACGTGCCGATATGGCGCTGGGGCGGACGAGTTTGGGCACTACGGTTTGGTTTGTCGCCTGGGTGGGGGCCGTCAACTACGTCACTCAGCGCTAAACGATTACATTTGTCGGCTCTTCTCCAAGGCTTCAATCCCGGTTCTCAAGGAACCATCCGGTATTTCTGCGCATGATGGTAGGCGCCCGGACGGATGCACACTAATACCTTGGAGAGCCGGCAGATGTTTGGCGTGGGATGTTACGGTCTCTGGCACCCTCGCCGAACGATGCGTAAACCTGACAAGTAAAGAATGCGGTTTGGCCGCGGCCAAGGCAGCGGACGAGAAAATGAAAAAATATGGGAACGCCTTCCCCTCGATGGAATTCTTGCCAATATGCATCGAGGTTCTTGGCCCGATGGACCCCAACACCCTTAAATTTCTTAAGGAAATATGCAAAATGATCAGCGTCAGATCAGGCGACAGCAGGGAACTGTTTTTCGCAAATAACCACATTTCAAGCTTGTTGCAGCGGTTCCTGCGTGTCTGTGTGCTTGAAAATATCCAACTGAATGCCGACATGTGCAATTAACGACAAATCAAAGTGTTAATCCATTTGTTACTTGATGTTTGACGGTTCAGTGTCACTCATCATGTTTTGGTTTTAACATACATACATACATACATACATACATACATACATACATACATACATACATACATACATACATACATACATACATACATACATACATACATACATACATACATACATACATACATACAAACATACATACAAACTAGAGCCCTGCGCGGTTTGCGGTTGTCGCGGTTTAAACTGCGGTTTTGAAATATGCAGTTTTTCCGCGGCGCGGTTTTTTTTATCAAAACCGCGGTGACCGCAAAAATCTTGTTAAATATTTTTGTTCGTCCATAACATTTTAAAAATTGCATTATCATTGTAATAATTTTATATATTAAAATCTTAATATCTTTGGAAGCCGTTGAAGCAACCATTTTCTTTTTCCTGTTTACTTTGAAAGAAGTAGTTATTTTATTTACGGCGTGGTTAATTATCGATTATTTTATAAAAATGTCCGAGGTAAAAAATGTTGAAGTTGATCCACGGGTAGATGTAATTGATAAAGAAAGGGTAGGATCATCTCTCAATTATACACTGCAAAAGGGACGGTCCAGTTTAAATCCATACAAAATTGACAAACGATATTTATTAAGAGTAACAGTGATTTGGATGTAGATAGTTGTGATTTATAATGTCAATAAAAGCATTAATGTTGTTTTTTCTTGCTGTGCGGTTGCGGTGCGGTTGCGGTTTTCGGTGGTGCGGTGTGGTGCGGTTGCGGTTTTTGAAAATTCCAACCGCGCAGGGTTCTAATACAAACAAACATACACACATACACATGCAAACATACATACAATCAGTTCAACATTTAGTTGGTTGTTGCAGATGACTCTGCGGAGAAATTAATTTGCATTTGCAACTTGTTACTTGTGGTGATGGTGATGATGTCGAAGGCTATGATAATGATGTGATGATGATGACAATGATGGCAGGAATGGTGAATAATGAGAATGTTGGTGATGCTGGTGATGATTGTGATGATAATGTTGAGGATGACGATGTTGATGTTGATGATAATGTTGTTGTTGTTGCTGATGATGATGGTGAATTATTGGTAAAAATAATGATGTTGATGATGGTATTGTTGTCATGATGTTGATGATAGCGATAATGATGATGATAATGATGATGATAATGATGATGATGATGTTGATGATGGTGAGGATAATGATGAGGATGATAATGATGATGATGGTGGTGGTAATGATAATGATAATGTTGATGATAGTGTTGTTGATGATGATGATGATGATGATGATGTTGATAATAAAGTTGATGATGGTGGTGGTGGTGGTGATGCATCTTACATAAAGCAACAACATCGACTGCTTCCTTGGATTACTCCTTATCTTTCATTTGCTGAAATGTGGCCGTGATGATGTTGACGACGACGACGAAGATGATGATGATGACAATGATGAGGTGATGTTGATGACGATGATGACGTCGAGCTGATCACCATAGTAATTAATTACATTTTTAGCATCTTTTCATTTGGCAAAAAAACCACTTCACTTATCTTTTATCTTCATCACTTAACAAACAAAAACTTGTTTTTCAAATGAATCCTAAATGAAATTATAAAATTATACACACACACGACACACACACACAAATACACACACATATATGCATATATATATATATACATACATATACACACATACACATACACACACACACATACACATATATAGCATATACCAACTGGTCGAATGTTAACACGGAAGATGTTTGGTTGGTCATAGGCAAGCATCGTGCGTGTGTGTGTGTGTGTGCGTGCGTGCGTGTGCGTCAATGTAAGTAAAGAGGTTGATGATATTTGTTGTCAAATTGTGAATGTTCATGCAAATTGTGTTCTTACTCGTTCGTTCGGTCGCTAGTTTGTTCGTTCGTTTTCTCAATTATATTTTTAAGTAGGATGAAAATGAAAAATTGATGAAATTGCTAATATGAATAGTTTGCTCGCCGTACAAAATATCATTAAATGAAAATTAAATAAATAATAATTTTAGAAATATATCTTCTGTGTAACTTTTTGCTATGTGATTTCTGCTTTTGTGGAGAGATACTGACTGGGGTGCTCTCTTTGATTGTTATCAACGACAGCAAACACATTTACTATTTTTTGCGAATAATAATAACAATAGTAGTAATAATAATAATAATAATAATAATAAAATAATAATAATGATAATAATAATAACAATAATAATAGTTATACTGATAAAAATAATGACATCGAGACGACAGTATTAAACAAAGATGTGCGAAAATCACTTATTAAAATAATCTTGCAATTAATCAATCTCTGTTGACGTAATATAACAGCGTCACCGGGCAACGTCAACAAAAACATCGACAACAAAAACATCGACAACAACAACAACAACATCGACAACAACAACAACATTGACAACAACAACATCGGTAACAACAACAACAACAACAACATTGACAACAACAACAATAACAGCATCAACACAACATCGCCAAAAACATCAATAAAAAAAAACAATGGAACCATTAATACAAGTTTATCAAAGAACGCATTTAACAACTGCAATAGAGAAAAGAAGCGAAAATGATTTTGTGCACGGTTCTTAGGAGAAGTTCAACAACAACAATAACAACA